AAAAAAAAAAAAATTAATAAATAAACATCCGAAGCAAACAACAAACAAACAAGCAGAAAAGCAAAGAATCAGAGAAGAACAATCAAGGAAACAAACAGACAAAACAAATAAGCCAGACAAACAAAAATATACATGCATGTTGTTATCAGACTAAGAAAAACTCCATTAAAATGAAATGGCGTGTGGAGCGGCAAATATGGAGGCAATAGGTCATATACATAAAAAGGAATATAAACGTACAAGTGAAAAGCTGTCAAGGTTTTCCATAGCATTAATAAATGCGGCCACATATCATAGCATCGCCGCTAGGCCATTAATTGATTACTCCAAAACCATGTACTCTATATAAATGTCATTCAATTTCACTCTTCCGGAGTGTGTGTCGGCATGCCTGGGTGTGTTGTTCGGCCCCAGACGTTAGTCTGGCCACCAATGTAGTTATTTTCTCGACCAGTCACATGTTATGATCAGTTTTCGTTGTTTCCACTCAAGTACTGTCGGTAGAGTGCTGAATGCAATAAGTTGCAGAGCGTAATAGATTGTAGATAGATCAAATACAAGACATCACTTTAGCTGCTACTCCGAGTTTCACGCTTACGCTACATTAATGAAGAATATATCTTACTTAAGGTCTATATATATACATGGGTGGCGATATCTATATTTAGTGTAATTGTATTGTAATTAAAATGATCTATTGTTCTGCGGCTTTCTGGATTTGTTTTAGGTGTTCATTAAGTAGTACTTGTTCTCATGGCGGCATTTAGAAATTGATTCCGATCTATTGTTGAGGAGGCTAGTTTTTTCGGCTTTAATAATGTAAAGCTTTTCTGTTAGGCAGAGATTACACCTTTTGGAGATGTTGTTGTATGAACTTGCTGAGGCTATTATTCACCAGTTGATCTTGTAATTTCTCTTGTCGTCTTTTAGTTTCAGATGTATTTATTGAGAGTTCAATGTTGTTTGCGTATTTTCTGTTCCTAAATATAAACTCAATGAGGATCAGCCATACTGATTGACAGGTGTCAAAGAGCGAGAATTTATTGCACAAAATTTAAATAGTAGCAACTTTTCAAGTAACCGGGAGGGGGTAGGGGGTCATGAAATCACAAAAAAGATAGTGCTCCTGGGAGAGATCAGATAGTAATTAATATTTTTTGATAAAAACAATCAGTTGTTTTTACTTATGGCCCGGCTGCAACGTCAATCCCCTTTCCCCCTCCCCCTCCCCCAGCGTTAAACAATGACCGGTCCTTAACTCGTCAATGTTTATGCTTATACTGAGTCAATGCCATTAACGTTGCTCACCGAAAAAAGACATTTGCACATTTACACATTTAGACTAAAAGATATATCACGTGTTTCATTATGTATTCTTTGCCTCGTGCGCGTCAGCCTGAACTTTAAATGTAAAATTCAACTCGGTGATTGAAAATCCAGAATGCCCCGACCATTTAGTGAGGATTTATTAAGATGGTGAATGGTATATCAGCGTTTGTTTTATGCCAGAACGTTGCCAGAGCGGGAAACATGT